TTAAACTCAAAAAGAAAGTTTACAAGAAGTGGAAATTTGGAAAGAAGAATTGTGAGGAGCATAAAGATATTACAAGAGCATGCAGGTGTGTAATCAGGAAGGCCAAAACATAATTGGAGTTGCAGCTAGCAAGGGATGTGAAGGGTAACAAGAAGGGCTTCTACAAGTATGTTAGCAATAAAGGGGGGAGAGATAGCTCAATGGTTTGAGCATTAGCCTGCTAAACCCAGGATTGTGAGTTCAATCCTTGAGGGGGGCTCTGGGGCAAAATCAGTACTTGGTCCTGCTAGAGAAGGCAGGGGGTTAGACTCCATGACCTTTCAGGGTCCCTCCCAGATCTAGAAGATAGGTGTATATCTCCATATATTACTATAAGGTCAGGGAAAGTGTGGGACCCTTACTGAATGGGAGAGGCAAACTAGTGACAGATGGTGTGGAGAAAGTTGAAGTACTCAATGCTTTTTTTGCCTCAGTTTCACAGACAAGGTCAGTGCCCACACTGCTGCACTGGGCAGCACAGTATGGGGAGGAGGTGAGCAGCCCTCAGTGGTGAAAGAACAGGTTAAGGACTATTTAGAAAAGCTGGACATGCACAAGTCCATGGGGCCGGATCTAATGCATCCGATGGTGCTGAGGGAGTTGGCTGATGTCATTGCAGAGCCATTGGCCATTATCTTTGAAAACTTGTGGTGATCACCAGACAATTGGAAAAAGGCAAATATAGTGCCCATCTTTAAAAAAAAGGAAAAAGGAGAATCTGGGACTCTACAGACTGGTCAGCCTCACCTCAGTCCCTGGAAAAATCATGGAGCAAGTCCTCAAGGAATCCATTTTGAACCACCTGGAGGAGAGGAAGGTGATCAGGTAGAGTCAACATGGATTCACCAAGGCCAAGTCATGCCTGACCAACCTAATTGCCTTCTATGATGAGATAACTGGCTCTGTGGATATGGGGAAAGCGGTGGATGTGATATATCTTGACTTTAGCAAAGCTTTTGATAAGGTCTCCCACAGTATTCTTGCCAGCAAGTTAAAAAAGTATGGATTAGATTAATGGACTACAAGGTGGATAGAAAGCTGGCTAGATTGTCGGGTTTAACGGGTAGTGATCAACGGCTCGAAGTCTAGTTGGCAGCCAGTATCAAGTGGAGTGCCCCAGTGGTCTGTCCTGGGGCCGGTTTTGTTCAACATCTTCATAAATGATCTGGATGATGGGATGGATTGCACCCTCAACAAGTTTGCAGCTGACACTAAGCTGTGGGGAGAGGTAGATAAGCTGGATGGTAGGGATAAGGTCCAGAGTGACCAAGACAAATTGGAGGATTGGGCCAAAAGAAATCTGATGAGATTCAACAAGGACAAGTGCAGAGTCCTGCACTTAGGACGGAAGAATCCCATGCACTGCTACAGGCTGGGGACCGACTAGCTAAGCAGCAGTTCTGCAGAAAAGGACCTGGGGATTACAGTGGACGAGAAGCTGGATATGAGTCAACAGTGTGCACTTGTTGCCAAGAAGGCTAACGGCATATTGGGCTGCATTAGTAGGAGCATTGCCAGCAGATCGAGGGAAGTGATTATTCCCCTCTATTCAACACTGGTGAAGCCACATCTGGAGTACTGCATCCAGTTCTGGGCCCCCTACTACAGAAAGGATGTGGATAAATTGGAGAGAGTCCAGCGGAGGGCAACGAAAATGATTAGGCCGCTGGGGCACATGACTTATGAGGAGAGGCTGAGGGAACTGGGCTCATTTAGTCTTCAGAAGAGAACAGTGATGGGGGATTTGATAGCAACCGTCAACTACCTGAAGGGGGGTTCCAAAGAGGATGGAGCTTGGCTATTTTCAGTGGTGGCAGATGACAGAACAAGGACCAATGGTCTCAAGTTGCAGTGGGGGAGGTCTAGGTTGCATATTAGGAAAACTATTTCACAAAGAGGGTGGTGAAGCACTGGAATAGGTTACCTAGGGAGGTGGTGGAATCTCCATCCTTAGAGGTTTTTAAGGCCCGGCTTGACAAAGCCCTGGCTGGGATAATTTAATTGGGGTTGGTCCTGCTTTGAGCAGGGAGTTGGACTAGATGACCTCCTGAGGTCTCTTCCGACCCTAATCTTCTATGAGTCTATGATTCCATCAAGCCCAGTATCCTGTCTTCCAGAGGCAATGAACGGAACAGGCAATCATCAAGTGATTCATCGCCTGTCATCCACTCCCAGCTTCTGGCAAACAAAGGCTAGGGACACCCAGAGTACAGTGTTGCATCCCTGACCATTTTGGCCAATGACCATTGATGGACTTATCCTCCATGAACTTATCTAATTTTTTTTAACTGCATTATAGTTTTGGCCTTCAAAACATCACCTGGCAATGAGTTTTATGACCTTGGAAAATCAGAGAAAAATGCATGGATACACTGGGAATGGATGCCAAAGCCTGAAACGTGCAACAAAGGTGGAGAAAATCTCCAGTGAAAAACTATAGTAAAGCCCAGAGCAGAACCTTGGATGCAAGACATGGGATAGTTTGTGCCAGACACAAAACCTATCTTTAAAATTCCAGTCAAAACTAGATACCCCAGCAGACACTGAATCCAAGATCAGTTTTACGAGATGCTATTGAGCATCTTTTCTCCCCAAAGATATTTTGTACCAAAATATAAAACTACGGTGCTGAATGCAAATTACCAAGCAAAATATCTATGCTAGTGAGAACAGAAAGGCAACCCCCCTAAAGTCAATGGGGCTACTCAGGGATAATTGAGGGCAGATAAGGGGCATAGCTAAAGTAGTATTTGGTACTACAGTAACTCCTCACTTAAAGTCATCCCAGTTAACGTTGTTTCCTTGTTACGTTGCTGATCAATTAGGGAACATGCTCATTTAAAGTTGTGTAATGCTCCCTTCTAATGTTTGGTAGCCACCTTTGTCTACTGCTTGCAGGAAGAGCAGCCCGTGGCAGCTAGCTGGTGGGGGCTTGGAATCAGGATGGACTGGCAGCCCCCCTACCAGCTCCCCCTATCAGCTCCCCTAAGTTCCCTGTGCAGCAGCTGCCTGTAATTCAGCTGTGTCCCTCCCGCCACTGCCATGTGCTGCTCCTGCCCTCTGCCTTGGAGCTGCTCCCTGAGACTCCTGCTTACTGTGCGGGGGTGGGGGGAAGGGAGGAAGAGGGGGGTTAATGTCAGGGTGTCCCCCTCCCCCCTGCTCCTGCACCCCACTTACCCCATCTTCCATAGAGCAGGGGGGACACACCAGGACTCAGGACAGAGGGAGCTTGCAGCAGCTGCGTCTCAGCAAGCTGATCTAATTAACAAGGCAGTGTACTTAAGGGAAATGCGCATATCTCCCTCCATTCCTGCTGCCTTGTGTAGAGAGAGAGTTAACCCTTGAGGGATCAGCCAATTGCTAGTTCATCATTTAGCAGTAAGGGAAATATCCCACCTTCTGACTCCTCCACCTCAACCAAGCTTCACAATCATCATCACTGTATACCAGTATTAAATTATTTGTTTAAAACTTACAGTGAGTGAGTGAGTGAGTGAGTGTGTGTGTGTGTGTGTGTGTGTGTGTGTGTGGTGAAAAAAAATTCCCTGGAACCTAACCCCCCATTTACATTAATTCTTATGGGGAAATTGGATTCGCTTAACATCATTTCACTTAAAGTCACATTTTTCAGGAACATAACTACAACGTTAAGTGAGGAGTTACTGTAATTATACCTTCCTGAGCAACTTAGGTTCCTCTCTAAGCTAATGGACATGGCCCATGATAACACTTTCTTTTTCATAAATCCTGACTGAGCAGACGTGTCCTTTAATTTCTCCATGATTTTCTCCCATACTCGTGGAACTCCCATATGAGATGTTGGCTGTGCTTCTTTCAGTGTATTGACCAAGCTGCCCTGTTAAAATAAGAGAATATAGTGCAAAGGTCAGGATTAGTGTTATGGAGGTTTTTTTCTTCCTAATGGACTAAGTCTTGCAGCACTTATACGTATAATATCATTGAAGTCAGAGCCTGTTATTTCAGCTAGATCCCCAGGTGAGTTAGACCAATGCTTGACACAACTATGTGTGTGCTGGGTGTGTGTGTGGGGGTGCACACAGTTGGCTTTACTCCTCCTTTCTGTCCCCCCTGATCCTGCCTACCTGAAACACCGCTTACACTCCGTCCTGTGCCAGAGGAATCCTCAAGCTGCTGCCTTAAAAAGGGCTCAGGTTCTGGCCATATTATTTTTTCATTTTATAATGTAATGAACTAACTGTGTACAGAGAGGGTGAGAGACCCACTATTACTATCAGTTACAGGAACTCTTCTTTAGCTAAAGGAGGCGGGGAAGGGATAGCGGTAGCTCAGTGGTTTGAGCATTGGCCTGCCTAACCCAGGGTTGTGAATTCCATCCTTGAGGGGGCCACCTAGGGATCTGGGGCAAAATCAGTACTCGGTCCTGCTAGTGAAGGCAGGGGGCTGGACTCAATGACCTTTCAGGGTCCCTTCCAGCTCTATGAGATAAGTATATCTCCATATATTATATTATAAAGTGATAGAGGCCTGTGATTTTGGAGCTGACGGACCAGAGTTCTAGTCATGGCTCCGGGTTAGGGTAAAATGAGGCCTTAAGGCACTGGAGTATTGGCCTACATCTCCCAATGAATTCACTTTTCCAGAATGGTTACACAAAACTTGCAATTATCTTCTGCAGCTCCTTAAAACCAAATGCTCTACTTAGTGCTTCTGCTGGTGAAAAAATTAACTTAAACGTAAAGTACTACAGGTACCTTTAAAGCATCTGGCTCAGCAAAGTAAATTTGCTCTCCCCACTTGATTCCAGTCCAGAGGTCATATATCTGAGCAGCTATGTGGCTGAGCGGGAGGTAACTGACTATAATCTCCTGTTGGATTTCTGCTGGTTGCATATCCCCTGCTCTGCTGGCATGTGCTGCTGTCCAGGTTATCTGTTCACATAAATAACAAGATGTTAAATATTATTTTTGTTTTATTTTAATACAATTTAAGCAGCCAGTCCTGTTATATTAATAAACTCTGAATCTGTCTGTAAAATACACATGTATTGTTAGAAGCGACAAAGAGTCCTGTGGCACCTTATAGACCAGCAGACATTTTGGAGCATAAGCTTTCATGGGTGAATACTCACTTTGTCAGATGCATGTCATCTGTTTAGATATATCACTACCTTTAATAACATGTAGATTGTCACTCATCTATAAGGCCTATTTAGAGCAAATGAACTGCAAGGAATATAATGAAATGGTGGCAGTCTGTTTTTCCCCCTGCTGCACTGTGCACACTACAATTCCTGCCTTACATACACAATTGGTATTGCTGATACGATTAACCTCACCAGAGGGCCCATGGACTGAACAGACAAGGGAACCCAACTACACCTTCATAGAATCATAGAAATATAGGACTGGAAGGGACCTTTATAGGTCATATAGTCCAGTCCCCTGCACTGAGGCAGGACTAAATATTAACTAGACCATCCCTGACAGGTGTCTGTCTAACCTGTTTTTAAAAACCTCCAATGACAGAGATTCTACAACCTCCATAGGTAATTTGTTCCTGTGCTTAACTATCCTAATGATTAGGAAGTTTTTCTTAATATTTAATCTAAATCTCCCTTGCTGCAATTTAAGCACATTACTTTTTGTCCTGTCCTCAGTGGTTAAGAACAATTTATCACCCTTCTCTTTATAACAATATTTTATGTACTTGAAGACTGTTATGTCTCCCCTCTATCTTCTCTTTTCCAGACTAAACAAACCCAATTTTTTCAATCTCTCCTCGTAGGTCAGGTTTTCTAGACCTTTAATCATTTTTGTTATTCTCCTCTGAACTTTCTCCAGTTTCCCCAGGGCTGGAGCACCCACGGGGAAAAATGGTGGCTGCTGAACACCCACCGGCAGCCCCCCTATCAGCTTCCCCCAATCCCCCCAGCGCCTCCCGCCCGCTGGCAGGCCCCACGGATCAGCGCCTCTCACTCCCTCTCTACACCTCCCACCTAACGCAATCAGCTGTTTTGCAGCGTGCAGGAGGCTGGGGGGAAGGAGCGAGGATGCGGCACGCTCAAGGGAGGGGGCAGAAGTAGGCGGGAAGAGGCAGGGGTGGAGCAGGGGTGGGAAGAGGCAGGTTGGGGTGGGGCCTTGTGGGAAGGGGTGGAGTGGGGATAGGGCCAGGGGCAGAGCTAGGGGTCCAACACGCCCCAATACTTTGAAAAGTTAGCGCCTGTGTGTTGCCCTGCTATGGGTAAAGAGGACTCCAGTGTCCAGGAAGGTCAGTCTGTCACCTTTCATCAGAAAAGCATTTCTAGGATGCAATTTGAAACAAAACAGCAATAAATACTATAGAACAGTAAGTTCACATGACAGAAAGGGTAATTTACCTACACAAAGTCATTCAGTATCACCAATGGTATTTATCATTAGGATTACTAGCCATGGTGTCAGGGCCGGCTCCAGGCACCAGGCAACCAAGCACATGCTTGGGGCGGCACCTGGTAAGGGGTGGCCAATCTTGGGGTGGCAGGGGGCAGCGCGGCGTGGCATTCCACGGGGGGGGGCACTCTGGTGGCGCGGCGCTTGGCGAGCGGGGCGGCGCGGGGCGCT